ACGGGGTCATAACTCGGTATATGAAGGTGGAATGAGCTTATGAAATTCTTGACTTGTCCCCCCCCCCTCCCCCCTCACACACGTTCACATGATGTGTATTAGAGATTTAATTTTGTGTGTGGATAAATTTTCATGGTAAAACTATATAATTTTCAATGGATGATTTTTGAGTTTCTATAACTTTCTTGTTGTTGGTGTTATTGTTTAAAGAAAGCAGACAGGGGTATTACCGGTAAATTCTTCTTCTTTCTTTTACTATCAATATTATTATTAATATGATATTTTTCTTACTATTATTATTATTATTATTATTATTATTATTATTATTATTATTATTATTATTATTAAATATTATTAATTATTATTATTATTATTATTATTATTACTTATTATTATTATTATTATTATTATTATTATTATTATTATTATTATTATTATTATTATTATTATTATTATTATTATTACTCATTATTTTTATTATTATTATTATTATTATTATTATTATTATTATTATTATTATTATTATTATTATTATTATTATTATTATTATTTATTATTATTATTATTATTATTATTATTATTATTATTATTATTATTATTATTATTACTCATTATTTTTATTATTATTATTATTATTATTTAAAGTTGGTAAAAATAATCGTAGAAAATGCTGTAATTAAAAATAACCATTGAAAATAATTATTGCACTTACTGTAGTTCATTAATTTTCCACAAGACATGGAACAAAAAGTACTCAGTGATTCCTCAGTTGTGTAACCCTCCCAGAGGCTACCGGTGCTGTATGTCTGAGATCAATACCACTATAATTTCTTTCTAATCTCCTCTTCTTAAATTGTAGCATATATATTCCTTTATTCTCATATATATATATATATATATATATATATATATATATATATATATATATATATATATATATATATATATATATATATATATATATATATATATATATATATATATATATATATATATATAGGTCTATACAGTTGATGAAACAATATTTTGGCTTATATTATAGGAAATGTGTTTATATATTTTTTTTATCATATTTTTGAGTGATTCTTTAAAACTTGTCTTAACTTTGTTTTACGTAAAATACCCAAAAGTTTACTGTGACGCAAACTCACCCATATCTAACCTTCACTTAAATTCAATATTCATTTCTCTTTTGTCATCCGTCTTATAGAAATTAAACTCACCAGAATTTTTTATCTTAGTTTTCTTTGTTGTTCTTTCTAAATTATACATAAGTGGCGGTGGGAAATATTTTATTATATTAAACTAAAACAAAATATAGTCATTCATTGTAATTTTTCTGTAAGTCTAAAAACTGACTTACGAACGCACTTACGACCTAAGCTGTTGAAACACTTAAATACGTAAGCATTATAGTTATCAGATGGTTTTAGTAAAAGCAACAGGAGAAAAAAAAAGTGAGAGAGAGAGAGAGAGAGAGAGAGAGAGAGAGAGAGAGAGAGAGATAAATCTGTTTCGCAAAATGGTAAAATGTAAAGGTTTTCAATCCTGGAGGGTCGAGCGATGGAGCCGTGTGTGTGTGTCTGTGTGTGTGTCTGTGTAAGCAGTCTTCCTTGAACTTTATCGTCTCGGGAGAAAAGTCAACTCACACGAGACTACTATTGTTTTACGCCATTCTGCAAAAAAACAACAACAACAAACTCCCCCTCCAATGAAAAAAAAAGTTTACCTCCGAGAGTGAGAGAAAAAAAGAAGAGACTGAAAATACAACTCTACCTTTATACACTCCTGAGACATGAGGAAAAAATATCTGCTATTATTCGCATGAGACATTTTAATGGACACATTTACCGTGTCAATGTTCTGTGCTGATCCACTGGGAAATTTGCGGAGTGTGTGAGGTATACTCGTTCAGGGTTATGATATATGAGGTATACTCGTTCAGGGTTATGATATATGAGGTATACTCGTTCAGGGTTATGATATATGAGGTATACTCGTGCTCGGGGTATATCTTATATGCGGTATACTGGTGCTCGGGGTATATCTTATATGCGGTATACTGGTGCTTGGGGTATATCTTATATGCGGTATACTGGTGCTTGGGGTATAACGGGTGTATAACTTATATGCGGTATACTGGTGCTTGGGGTATAAGTATACTATTCCGGTATACTGGTGCTCGGGGTATATCTTATAATACTATTATAGGCATATTGGGGTATATACATGATTATAGCGTATAACTTATATGCGGTATACTGGTGCTCGGGGTATATCTTATATGCGGTATACTGGTGCTCGGGGTATATCTTATATGCGGTATACTGGTGCTCGGGGTATAACTTATATGCGGTATACTGGTGCTTGGGGTATAAGTTATATTCCGTATACTGGTGCTCGGGGTATATCTTAAAGGTATTATAGGCTCCTTCCTTTTTTATATTGGGGAATATATACATACAAGATATATAATATACAGTATATACTTGACCTGCCCGTATCTGACCCTGACACAAACACCCGTAACACGACACTAACACCTGACACAACATGACTCTAACACCTGACACAACATGACGCTAACACCTGACACAACATGACTCTAACACCTGACACAACATGACTCTAACACCTGACACAACATGACTCTAACACCTGACACAACATGACTCTAACACCTGACACAACATGACTCTAACACCTGACACAACATGACTCTAACACCTGACACAACATGACTCACCTGACACAACATGACTGACACAACATGACTCTAACACCTGACACAACATGACTCTAACACCTGACACAACATGACTCTAACACCTGACACAACATGACTCTAACACCTGACACAACATGACGCTAACACCTGACACAACATGACGCTAACACCTGACACAACATGACGCTAACACCATGACACAACATGACTCTAACACCTGACACAACATGACGCTAACACCTGACACAACATGACGCTAACAGCTGACACAACACGACACTAACACCTGACACAACATGACACTAACACCATGACATACTGAACACGCCGACAATATTTGATGTTCACGACAGATTTTAGAAAAATACAAGTCTCTGTTTTTTTAGTGTTTAGTTGTGAAGTCAGCTGTAACACGACACACTTGTACCCACAACACACTTGTACTCACGATACACTTATACCCAGATAGATACAGTATAGTTCTGTATTTTCATTATAATAAAAATGAAATAAATGTAAATTTTATTGTGAACATATTAACTGTTATATTTCATGTATTTTTTGTTTTGTTTTGTTTCATGAACAGTATGATTGCATACATGCAAGTAATAATTCACACACACACACACACACACACACACACACACACACACTTTTCTTTGAATTCATGTATTCATGGAACAATACAAAGCGCAACAGTGATCATTACAAATGTTTTCTTTCATTCGACAAATTTAAATCTTTTGTCATAGTGTTTGTGATAATGTCCGCGAGGCAGTAGAGATCAACTAACATTTACACCAGATTTACTAAAATGTCATGAAATGTCAGGATGCTAAGTTGAAGGTGTAGTAACGTGTGGCAACTCCTTCCTCTTCTTTCTCTTCTTCCTCTTCTTCCTCCTCCTTTTTTTAATTCAAACATTTACTATTGTTTGTCTGAGTCGACGCTTAATATTCGAACATCACATATTATTAATCACTGTCATTCGGGATTTAAACTAATTTATTATAAGAATGAGTGTCGCAAAAACAGGATTTTTTTTCCGGGATTTTTTTATTATCAAAGGTTATTAGTAGTGACCCGACCTCTACGTAACCTTAAATTCAGCCTGAAGTCACTTACTATTTTTATGTTGTTTATTAATTACTTTTTTCGGTTTAATAAGTGCAATTATTAACGACATAAGCTCTTGAAAAAACTAATTATTCTTCTTCTAAATTCTGAAAGCATGATTTTTTTCATTTGCCTCGAGTACAACATTGTTCATTTTCACTGTTTTAACACACGGAATGCATGAATAATTATACATTATACCAGTGAAATTTAACAATACAATACCCGTAATATATTCTTTTTTCAGGAGGCAAGGATCATAGGCTGGTTTAAATGAGAATTTTATATAATACGAGTAAACGCTACCTTCATCTGCTTAAGGTGGGAACATCCGCCAGCCAACCTTCACCTCTCCCAGACATAAGCCGGGTCAGCGTACGTTCTGGAGTGTGTGATAATCCGTTCTCTATTTTACTATCTTACGTCTCGTTTCACACGTTTTAATTACCGTGTTTTCATTACCCTCGTGTTATTATTTGCAAGAACATTACATTTATATAGTGAGGATTTAAATTAGTCTGGCGGTTTTACAGGAAAATAATTGTGGGTCTATGAGTAAATAATTATCAGTGGTTCTACGGGTAAATATCAGTGGTTCCATGAGTAAATATCAGTGGTTCTATGAGTAAATATCAGTGGTTCTACGGGTAAATATCAGTGGTTCTTTGAGTAAATATCTGTGGTTCTACGGGTAAATATCAGTGGCTCTATGAGTAAATATCAGTGGTTCTATGAGTAAATATCAGTGGTTCTATGAGTAAATATGAGTGGTTCTACGGGTAAATATCAGTGGCTCTATGAGTAAATATCAGTGGTTCTATGAGTAAATATCAGTGGTTCTATGAGTAAATATCAGTGGTTCTACGGGTAAATATCAGTGGCTCTATGAGTAAATATCAGTGGTTCTATGAGTAAATATCAGTGGTTCTATGAGTAAATATCAGTGGTTCTACGGGTAAATATCAGTGGCTCTATGAGTAAATATCAGTGGTTCTATGAGTAAATATCAGTGGTTCTATGAGTAAATATCAGTGGTTCTACGGGTAAATATCAGTGGCTCTGAGTAAATATCAGTGGTTCTATGAGTAAATATCAGTGGTTCTACGGGTAAATATCAGTGGTTCTAACTTCATCTCTCCTCTCATCTTCCAGAGAGACGCCTGGCGATGCTGCCCTTGGTGAGAAGTCTCGTGTTGGCGCTGGTGGCTGCCGGTGAGTATTCTTTGTATTGATCAGGTGTATACTGTACATTGTTTTTCTCAGCTACTCATCACCTGTCATTTGTCGAGTATACATAGTATGATTTTTGTATACATCACCTGTCTATTATAGGGTATACATAGTTATCTACAGTTTGTATAATTCGGTTATCTAGTTTTAAGTATACATGATTTTTATGTTAAGATTCTTCTATTATTTATTGGGTATTTTCTCGTGTTGTTGTCCTCTCATAATCTATATTAAAAAAATCGTTCATCAGCTATACATTTATCACATGCACGACCCACAGGAAGATAACAGATAGAGACAAAAGTGTCCAGGGAATATTGATCATAACTGAACGCTGGAAATGAGACCTTATAGAGTGGATCCTATAAAGATTAGTCACCGCTAGCCTATTCCACCTGATGAGTAAACTCCTGAAGGCTAATTTAACCTAATTTAACCTAAACTAATCTAACTTAACAAAACCAAGCAATAACCTAACCTAACCTAACCCTCCTCAGGTAACTTCAGGTAAGCTGGAGAATGGGGCTAATCTTCATGTAATTCAAAATAACTGCTATCAATCTCCTGGTCTAATAACTCACAACCGATCTGTTTTATAAGTCAGTAACCTTCTCTGGGAGTGCCATGGCCCACCTGACACCAAACTCATCCCGGGAAAAACTTTACCAAACTAAATTGCAAATTTTTCTCGCCTCAGAGTCTTGGAAAAATGCTGCCACGTACTGCAGCTGGGCGTATGAAAGTTCTTTTATCCTAGAAAATAATGTATTAGCCCCTGCCTAATGGACAGTAATACTTATATACAGTATATGTGGGTTACATACATTAGGGTTATATAATTACATCGCCCACGGTAACTTTCCTATGAGACGTGAGTAGTCATCAACTGGACATGTGACGGATGTCCAGTTGATGACTACTCACACCTTGACTGCAGATTCATCAATTAAGTAGCCGGCTATCGCCAGTTCGACTCTTGTCATTGAGCCACTGAGAACGTGTGCTCTGGGAAGCTAGTTATATCAAAGCTTCGTCCCTTCTTAACGCTCACAGCTCATAGTGTTAATTACGGTGATATCCCAGTTATTGTGCAATAATTTATTTTCTTAATACATGAAGAAAAAACATTTTGGTTTGAAAACTTAACCCATAAATATTTATGAATGTTGCTTCCAGTTCACCTCTAATCAGTGATCTCAGTTAACCGGAAGCCACAGCAATAATAATACCTATAATAATTCCACGTATTATTTATAGAGAATATTTTCACATATAATTCATCTGTAATAATTATATGTTTATTTAATTATATTCAATTATCTTTATGATTTTGTTGGTTCATCCATCTTCTGAAATTCTACTTTGGGAATTTCACAAAAATAATTACTGTACATTTAAATGACTATAAAAAAGTTGTGTAAGTGTCTAACAATGGACTACAACATATTATTTTCATAGACTTAAGTTAAAAGCATAAACCTGTGATATACCGTATACAAAGATCACTATAAAGTCTTTATTTATTACTAGCAGAATCGCCGCCCTCCGGGCGGCTCATCCGCTAGGCCACGGTAGGACGCCACCCTCCGGGAGGCTCCACATTGTCTCACTGTTCATTCCCCAAAACTTCTTCTTCCATCAATATTTCATAAACGGTGTATGTAAGTTCCACCATGTTTTTCACTACAACGGTACAGCAAAGTATATTTTTTTAGCACCACCTATCACCACTAGATATAACATCATGCATCATCACTACATATAACATCATCCATCATCACTACATATAACACCAGCCATCATCACTACATCACATCTATAGTTAAAATAATAAACAACTCCTGATTTATGTACTGTACAGTCCTGTAAATGTATTCAACGCCTATTATATCATTATGTCTAAATCAAATGTAAGTCTGTATATTTTCAGCCACCGGCTGCAACTCTATTAATAAACCGTTTATTATTATTATTATTATTATTATTATTATTATTATTATTATTATTATTATTATTATTATTATTATTATTATAATACCATCCATCATCACTACAGATCGGTAAAGTAGTTTCCGAGATTGTCGTGCGGAGACACACACAAACAAACAGACATACTGTACCTCTTTGTTTTATATAGATAGATTCATCTTTCCCAATCTAAGTATATTTTCTTGTGTTCGGGGCACCCAGTGTCGACCCAACTGTGATTAGGTACTGGGCTTTAATTTCGGATTTGAAGACCATCATAAATGCGAGACTCATTTATTTGTCTCAGCTGTGATGTAGGAAAATAGATTTAATATTTAGAGAGAAATATCAACTTTATTTAACAATTTGTAAATGTCAGTAGGAAACGTATTATTACATGTGTGAAAACGTTAATTAGCGATGACATAAAAGCAGATGATAAAAAATTTAAATAAAGCTTTTCGCATTTTTTTTATTTGTTATTTATCTCACGTATTTATTTATTTTATTTCATAGAAATTGCGACTGAAAGTAGTAATTCGGACGGAACAAATTGTAAAACGAGGTACATGTTGCTGTGAATATAACCCGAACAGATTCTAAATTATCAACAGTAAACACACACGCACACACACATCACCGTGAAAACAACCCAAATAAAGTCGAACACAATCACACAGGGGATGAGACACGAAATTACATGTAAACAACACAACTGTTTGATTAATTAAATTATTTCCACCTCGTCGTTTGTCGCTGCACACCTAAAACATCAGCAAACAGATCGACCCAATATTTACACCTGCCCAGAGTACACAGGTGAGCGCTCTAACACCTTCAACTCTTATGTATCGTGATGGATGCACTGTGACCTCTCGTGACTACCTGAAGATATTAACACTTTATATTCAGCTGATACCAAGAGAGAGAGAGAGAGAGAGAGAGAGAGAGAGAGAGAGAGAGAGAGACACGTAGCAAGTAAAATAACGATAGAGTTGGCACAGTGCATTAAGAGTGTTGCCACAGTAAGGCTCAAATTTATACAGGAGCACCAACACTAGGGTTTGTTCGTCTAGCTTACCTTCCATTATCGTGTCACTGCAGGATGGATGAGAAACGCCGGGTGCTGTGAAGAGATTCGTTTCAGTGTGGCAATGAGTTTTAAACATGTAGATGAAGTATGGATATTTTATTCTTTACATACATACATACATACATTCGCAAAATTATGAACACACACACACACACACCCACACATACACACACATACATACATACATACATACATACATACATACATACATACATACATACATACATACATACATACATACATACGCAAAATCACACACACACACACACACACACACACACACATACTGTTAATTTGATTTTAAAATGGATAGAGCAATGGGCCAACCTATATGAATTCATGTTTAGACAATTAAACATAAATAAAAATCGGTAAGTGTTAAAGAACATCATGCATCGGTCTTAGCTGTGTGAAGGCTGTGTATGAGGTTGCCTGTTTATCATTAATTTATACGAATATTATCTTCAAACGTTTAATCCATTTCGGGTAATTAATCCAGTCGTATGTAACCGATGCCAAACAGACTTCTTTCTAAAGACGCTGATTTCATGCAACACAAACTGCTGTTTTAATTCTCTGTGGGATTAAGCAGAATCATCAGTTCACTGCTACCTGTAGTAAGTGTGTGTGTGTGTGTGTCTTTGCCTGTGTGTGTCTTTGCTTGTCTGTAAAAACAGTTGTATAAATGAAACAGTATTATGAAGTTTATTTAATTAAATTATTTATTTTACATTCCCTGTGAGGCGTTGGAAATATAAATCTACATATAATGTTTTATTTGTTCTTCTATTTATTTATGTTTCAATTATATGTCATAAATGGAGACTGTACAGTGGTGAACCAGTTTAAAAAGAAGGTTTTTTGCGGGCATTCAATCAATCAATAATCGAAAGAAATGTAATTTGAAATATATAATAAGCTAAGTCTACTCAGATGACAATCGTAATGACAGTTGGAAGGTCTATAGCGATACAATACATAATCTACCGTATTAGCTATACCTTCAGTACGAGATTTCTCTTATTAATGTAATAGTTTTTTATAATTAATAAAAACGGCAAGGGACCCCGTTGAAATCGTCTTTCTTCACCAGCGAGTGCATATGTTTCCATGCTAGTGTGCGTGAGTGTTGGAACATTATTGTAAGTTAAGAAATATTGTGAGGTAACGTTGTAACATAGTTTGGTATTTTGGCAAGGATTTTTCCCCTCTTCTTATAAATAAATGGAGAGAAAAATATATACAAATACAATTATTACAATAAACGTTTTCCAAGAGTACATAAATATATTGTGAACGACATGACATGAACTTATTAAATATGAGATTGTGAGATTGAAATATGATATATCAATTTCCTCGTCACAAGTGACTTGAACAGCCGGATCGGACAGCTGTGATCGGACCATTACAAACAGCATTGTATGAATTGTGTCGTTATGCTATTGTTTCTTTGTTTCCGTCTCCCTCTCTGATTTTTTCCGTGGTATATATGGTAATTATTTCACATGCAATATATTTATCCTATATGATACTGTACTCTTTCATAATAATTTATAATGTTATGATTTGTTTGACTTAAATCATCCTGAATATATACAGCATAAGTGAGGATAATAGAAGAGGATTGTTTTCTTTACATTTATTATACAATTCGATCTATATTCATGAATATTATATTAATTTCAGTTAACATGGAAAAAAAATAATAATATGTGCATTCAGTATGTGACGTTGATTACACAGGGAAGTTATTTCTGACACATTAATATTTAGTCCCGCCACCTTCATTCTCGATTACTTGCTGCAGCCTGTTGGGAACGGAGTCGACGTGATTGTGTATCAGGCGGTTTCCGCCTCAGGAGCTCTCACTCATGGTGTGCATGTTCCTGTAGCTGCACCCTGGTGCTCTCTTCACTCT